ACCAGGGCCGACCCTGCTTAGCTTCCGAGATCTTAGGAGATCGGGTTAGCCTGGGCTAATCAGTGGTTTTTAGACGCTGGAAGTAAGGGAGTTATTTCAAACTAGCATTCTTCACCAGTGTTTTCCCTTGCTCGGCTAAGTAATTTCATTTTAACTGTCTGAGTAAAGGTAAAGGTTCCCTTGCTCAAAAGCCAGTCGAATCCGACTCTAGGGTTGCAGTGCTCATCTCCGTTTCCAAGCCGAAGAGCCAGCGCTGTCCGAAGACGTTTCCGTGGTCATGTGGCCGGCATGACTAAACACCAAGGCGCACGGAACGCTGTTACCTTCCCACCAAAGTGGTACCTATTTATCTACTTGCAATTTCTTGCTTTCAAACTGCTAGGTTGGCAAGAGCTGGAACTAGAGATGGGCGCTCACTCCGTCATGCGGCACCCGGGTCTCGAACTGCTGAACTACTGACCTACCACAGCCTGCAGTTCAGTGTCTTAACCACTTGAGCCACCGCAGCTGTCTGAGTATCAGGGGGAATTCCCTTTCGGCAGGCTCTCTTATTTAAAACAGTTGTACTTTGCTCTTCCACAAGCTCAGAGTAGCTAAGAAGGCACGGTTGAAACCCTCCGTGCAGGAGAAGGATCCTTTGGTTGAAACCTGCTTGCTGAAAATTTTTCCAGCAGCACTGTGCCACTTTACCAGTCTCAGGAAATGACCTGGTTTATCTTTTACCTTTTCTGCGCCTTGCAAACATTTCCAGATGGGGTTTTTTGGGGGGGGAAGGTTTATGGAATTCCTCAAAAGGAAGAAGAATCAGAATTCTCTTCCAAGTGACCAGAGGCATACTTTGGTCTCGGGGTACCTTAAAAGAAAAACAGACTGTGTTGTATTATTTGTGGAGGGAATCGGGACCAAGAGGTGTATTTTGGGTGAGGGGGAAATTGCAGGGACAGGAAAGATGTCGAGAAGGCTTTTTCCCTAGTTTAAATTTATTCCTGTTTTCAGACTCTTTGTTTTGACCCAAGTCCTTTGCGAATAGAGACAAAGATATTGCCTAGCAACACAAAAGAAGAGGGAGGAACTAACCCAAAAATGGAGTCGGATACCTAAAGCATTGAAGTTACAAGCATACGTTAATGCATGTATGCTTGTGACCTCAGCCCTTTACGACTAAGTCTTGAGAGACCCAAGTTCGAATCCCTGCTCCGTCAACAAAATTGCCAGGTGTCCTTGGGTCTGTCCCGTCTGTCAGCCCTGCCTACCTTGCAGGGCTGTTGTAAGGATTAAAGGAAGAGGAGGAGGACCTTGTCTGTCATCACAAACTTTTTGGAGGGTGGGTGGGATTTTTTTTAACAAAAAGAAAGTTACTGAGAGAATAAATGGAGTCTTAATAAGCCTCAAAAAGAACAGGAAATACAGCCAGGTTGCCGCAGTAAGTTTTGCGGGGTTACCACGTTAGAATTCGTATCCAATTCATATCCATTTTGTATCCAAAACTCCTCCAGAAAAGTAAGATAAGATTTTTCAGTCCTATCTTACTTTTCTGGTCTCTTCCAATATGTGCCAAATGGCTGGCGTGTTGCTCAGAATCTGTGCAGGAAGTGAAACCGGTGGCCATATCATCTTTAGGCATTTCCTGGCCCTTGACTAGAGGCTGGTGAATTCCACACTTTGAAAGACATCCGCTACGTGCCTCTCATTCCAGGGCACAAATTTAAATCTGTATCCTCAAGGCCTTAGACCAGAGGTGTCAAACTGATTTGTTATGAAGGCCAGTTCTGACATAAATGTCACTTTGTCGAACTGGGCCATGTGTGCCATAAAACATAATACCAGGTACCAGAGATACAAACATTATGAAGGATAGCAGCTGGTAAGCTCCAAGTTGTTGTGTCTTCACTGCAAGGCTCTATGGATGCTGCCTGGAGGGGTGGACCCCTTCCCTAGCCAACTCCCACCACCAATGCTGTGAGCCCGGGATCCAGGGTAAAGACATGAAGCAACTGGGCATTGTGAGCTCCCCTCTGTCTCACATGCAAGACTAGTTTTTCCCCCAAGGGATACCATAAAAGGGAGCGTTCCTTACATTTCCATACAAACCAGTTGCTTGCAGGCTGGGTAAGAACCCTGGACGGGCCAGTTCCGGACCCCAGGCCTTATGTTAGACACCCCTGCCTTAAACCGAAGTGAACCAGTTCTGCAAGGGTGACTCATGGGTGGGGGGCAGGCAGGGAAAGCAGTTTGGTAGAGTGGTTAAGTGTGCGGACTCTAATCTGGGAGAACCGGGTTTGATTCCCCACTCCTCCCCTTGCAGCTGCTGGATGGACCTTGGGCAAGCCATAGTTCTGACAAGAACCAGCCTTGCAGGTCCACCGCCGGGCCCCTGATGTCAGGGGGTGTGGCATATGCTAATGAGTTATGCTAATGAGTTCCACTAGCTCTTTTTCTACGAAACGACCCCTGACTGGGTCAATCAATTACGTTGTTCATTTCACCTCTTCCCCTTTCCTGAGCAGCTCAGAACAGGAAGAGGGTTGGCCCCGCCCCTGTTTATTCCTCAGAACACCCTTGTAAGGTTGGCCGGGCTACAAGAGTGTGTCTGGTGAAGGGTCCAGAGGGAGCATCATGTTGGAGCAAGAATTTGCACTCGGGGCTCCCTAACCCTAATCCAAAACTAGCTAGCACATTTAAAGGGATCCCACACATGCCAAAAATGCAGTGTGGGGTGTTTTTTTGGGGGGGGGACTTGGAACCTGCACTCAGGAAGGCAAGCAAGATTGGGCGGATGAGGCCAATGCTGTATTCCCCACTGCTTTAAACCCAAAGTGGTACGTGAGCCTTTCATAAACACTGTCAGTTGATTCATTATAATAATACAGCTCGGTGGAAATAATCGTCATTCGAGCCATTCGTACGAGTCTTTCGCAAACTGGTTCGTCTAAAATGAAACCTCGAGTCTCGGATGACTCTTCCCCGCAGCCTGCAAATAAAATGTTGGGCGTTTACTTTTTAAAAGCAGGCTGGAGTGGGGGAACAAATCCACATTTTGCCCCCCACCGAGTAACGTTTAATGTCATTGCTACCTCGAAAATAGTGATTTATGAAAACGGCAAAAAAGATTAAAAAGAAGGCTACTGAAAGTGGCGGTCACAGTGGGCTGAAAACCCGCGAAACCCCTCCAAAGGTGTTTCTCGGAAAGGCTGTTTAGTTTGGGGGTGGGACCGAGGTTTTGGTAAGGCAGATTCCTGATACATCATTAGAGGAAGGGGCGTGTTTAATTAGACAGAAGAACACGGCTCTTTTAAAGCAAATTTTAATCAAGAATTGCATTTTATGCTTCGTAAAAAGGTAAAGGTTCCCTTGCTCGAAAGCCAGTCAAATCCGACTCTAGGGTTGCGGTGCTCGTCTCCGTTTTAAAGCCAAAGAGCCGTTTCAAAGCCGAAGAGCCAGCACTGTCCGAAGACGTTTCCGTGGTCATGTGGCCGGCATGACTAAACACCAAGGCGCACGGAATGCTGTTACCTTCCCACCGAAGTGGTACCTATTTATCTACTTGCAATTTCTTGCTTTCGAACTGCTAGGTTGGCAGGAGCTGGAACTAGAGACGGGAGCTCACTCCGTCATGCGGCAACCTTGGTCTCGAACTGCTGAACTACTGACCTTCCACAGCCTGCAGTTCAGCGTCTTAACCACTTGAGCCACCGCAGCTCCCTTTATGCTTCGTACACCTTTATATTTATGAGTGTCCGATGTATTTACGAGTGCCCTGTTGACTATTTTGATTCTGGCTTCCATTCTTGGGATTGTACTAAACATCGACTTGATGTGACATTAGAAGAAGGCATTAATCAAAAGCTTTCGTTCTGGGGAAACGGATCCTTGGCGGTTTAGTACGGCCAGACCAATGGCTGACCTTCAGATTACGTTGATTCTGAAACGGAGGGGGCAGGATCCAGATGAAGTATTGTTAAGGCTCTTGACGGGGAAGTCCAACAGGTGCTCGGGTCTGTCTGACTTGGCGGTTGCCATCCTCCAGGTTGTGACTGGAGACTTCCTGCTGTTACAACCAGTGTTCCCTCTAAGCCGAGTTAGTGTGAGCTAGCTCACAGTTCTTTAGCCTCCGGCTCACAGGTTTTTTGCCTTAGCTCGGGAAGGAGGGCTCCGGAGCAAGCTAGTTGATGCAGTCGCCAAACTGCTCGCTCACAACTTTAATGATCTTAAAGACCCAGGTTCGAATCCCCATTCGTGCTCTGGAAGCTCGCTGGGTGACTTTGGGCCAGTCACGCTCCCTCAGCCTCACCTGCCTTCTGGGGTTGCCGTGAGGATGAAATGGGGGAGAGGAGAATGATGCAAGCCATGCTGGATCCCCGTTGGGGAGAAAGGCAGGGTAGAAATGAATTAAAGAAAGAAAGTAAGACAGGCAGGCTCAAAAGACGTCTGAGTCAAAGCTTCTGAGTCAGTATTTCTTTTTTCTGAATCACTTTCCCCACCTCTCCTGCTATCCGGCAGAGAACCCAACCCTTCCTTCCTCTCTTCATTAAATCGGTTCGAGATTCTCCCTCTCCACTCACCTCCTGCCCCCACGGCTTCTCAGAGACATGTGCCCCCAAAATCTCCAGGTATTTCCAAACTCCAGAGCTGGAAACCTCAAACAGAGGTTAAGTATTAAGACACTTGATGGAGACGTCGAACATGCTCAAGTCCGTCTGACTGGATCATCTCCTCGTTTCTCCAAATAACCCTTTAGTCAGAGCTGTTAACCCTGGGAACCCGTTCCATAAAAACAGCTTTTAAACATTTACATTAAAGAGAAACATCAATGGCTTTTAAGTGCTTTAAGAACCTTCCCCCAGACTGTCTTTCTACAGTTCGGCTCGCGTTTGTCACATCAACACACCTCCCATCAGAGGCATGTTTTATGTAAGACGTTTTAGCAGTATTAATAATCTGGTTGCTAAGGGACAAGATCACTTAATATATTTCTCTCTCTCTCTCTCTCTCTCGTGAAGTTTGCTAAGCGAAAGCGAGAAGCGCCCGTTTGTGGAGGAGGCAGAACGGCTGCGCGTCCAACACAAGAAGGATCACCCCGATTATAAGTACCAACCCCGCCGGAGGAAAAGCGTCAAAGCTGGCCAGAGCGATTCCGATTCGGGGGCCGAGTTGAGCCACCACGGCGGGAACCAGATCTACAAAGCGGACGCTGGCCTGGGGCCCATGAACGAGACACACCACCACGCCGACCATGCAGGTAAAGGGAGCCCAGGAGCCAGGCGTCACTCTCCAGCCGAGCACATGGCTTTGCATGGAGGACCCGAGTTCAAAGTTTGCTGCCATTCGTCCAAAAGGGAGCGGAGCTGAGGGAAACCCTACCAACGGGGAGGGGGGGAGTCTCTGGAGGGGGGGCTTTGTCTTTCTGCAACACGTCTGTTTGACCTCATCCTCTCCGACGCTTGGGGCAAACGAAACACTTGAAGAAAAGCGCCTCTGAGCTTATACAGAGTACATTTTCCTTGCTGTTAAGCCACAATCACTGTGTCCCCTCCCTACACATGGCATAGAAGCTAGTGGGAAGAGTTAGCTAGAGGATCTGAGGAGAACTGGGGAGGGGGGGTTTCGAATCTCGGATTAGCGGTGAAGCGCACTGAGCCTGTTCCTTTTCTCTCAGCCGCTCTCTCGGGAAGCCGGTGTGGTGATTAAGGCTAGTATCTTAAAGACCCAGGTTCGAATCCCCATTCATGCTCTGGAAGCTCGCTGGGTGACTTTGGGCCAGTCACGCTCCCTCAGCCTCATCTGCCTTCTGGGGTTGCCGTGAGGATGAAATGGGGGAGAGGAGAATGATGCAAGCCATGCTGGATCCCCGTTGGGGAGAAAGGCAGGGTAGAAATGAATTAAAGAAAGAAAGAAAGACCGGCAGGCTCGAAAGACGTCTGAGTCAAAGCTTCTGAGTCAGTATTTCTTTTTTCTGAATCACTTTCCCCACCTCTCCTGCTATCCGGCAGAGAACCCAACCCTTCCTTCCTCTCTTCATTAAATCCGTTCGAGGTTCTCCCTCTCCGCTCACCTCCTGCCCCCACGGCTTCTCAGAGACATGTGCCCCCCCCAGTTTGGTGCAGTGGTTAGGAGCGCGGGCTCTAATCTGGGAGAACCGGGTTCGATTCCCCCACTCTTCCACATGCAGCTGCTGGCGTGACCTTGGGTCAGTCACAAGTTCTCTCGGAGCTGTTCTCTCAAGGGCAGTCCTCGGAAGAGGTCAGGGTGTCTGTTGTGGGGAGGGAAAGGGAAAGGAGATTGTGAGCCGCTCAGAGACTCCTTTAGGTGGCAAAGGGCCAATCCAATCTCCTCCTGTTCTCAGCGTGGTGTCGTTCAGACCTGGACCGAGCTCAGAGAAGCATGTCCATGTTGTGGCCCCTCTGGAGAGCCGCATGTACGTCAGGGCTCAAGATTTCCTCACTCATCTCAAAAAGGGGAAGCAGATCCACGTGCACAAAGCAGAGAGAGACCTCCGTGTGCAGCTTGGGGGTCATTAAGAATTCCGGGGG